AGCATTGCAGTAATTAAAGGCGCACTGATTATTAATCTTAACCTAATATAACTGATTACAAAAATCTTCGAACTACAATACATTTTTCATCGTTAATAAGACAAGCCAACGCCCACTCACCACAGCGCCAACCACAGTTATATCTCGCTATAAACATCGACAAAATCTACTAATCAACGTTCACAAAACATACTGTTAATATTTATAAGATATACTTCATATTTTTAAAACTCTTACCACACATATACACAATGATCTACCACCGTTTCACAAGACCCGTAGCACACATTCACAAGACCCACAGCCCACATTCACAAGACTCACAGCCCACATTCACAAGACCCACAGCCCACATTCACAAGACCCACAGCCCACATTCACAAGACTCACAGCCCACATTCACAAGACCCACAGCCCACATTCACAAGACTCACAGCCCACATTCACAAGACCCACAGCCCACATTCACAAGACCCACAGCTCACATTCACAAGACCCACAGCTCACATTCACAAGACCCACAGGCCACATTCACAACCAGCACCCTACCCAATACCCCCTTCCCCCCTCCACCCTAGTCCTATAGGGACAATGAAAGAGCTCTCCAACATAATTTAGATAATGATAACTGTCCGCTTAGGGACAATTTTCTCCTTCTGCTGTCAGTTTTGTCCACCTCGGAACAGTTATGTCCACCCCAGGGCAGTTTGGTCCACCCGGGGGGACAAATTTTCTAATACACATTTTCTGTGCTTTCTTTGATAGATTTATCGTCTGAAGTATTTACGATTTCCCTTAATGAAAAAAATCCATAGGAGCCGTGATTAGGATTCGAACCTATGCGGTGGATATTCCTAGGCACTAGTCGTCCAGACCACGTCATTTACCATGTCGTGGTCTAGTCGGCTACAGCTTGTGCTCGGGAACACCCACCACATAGGTTCGAACCCTCACCACGGTTCCTACGGATTTTCTCACTGATGCGGTCACGTTAGTGTGATTACTCGCTGTCGTGAGTTCACGTAATGTTAAGAAAATAAATTTTGCTTGTGGTCTTTGTACACTTTTCCCGTATTCATTTTTTATTTTATTCATTTTCTTATTCACAAAGAAGTATTTATAACTAAATTTTTCTCGTTAACGACCTTTCACACTCGATTCTCTTAGAAAATTATTTTACTGAAATATCTCAGAAGCATGAACTTTAATACAGGTGCCAATAATGTTAACTTTAACAAAAATCGTTCAAATGGAAAACTGTGAAAGTAGACATTTTTAGCTGTCTATCGTCAGCAGTGCCAGTGTTTTTTTAGACGAAGTTTTAATTCACTTTACTATTTCTCCATATGGTTATGTAATTTTTTTTATAATACTGCAAATAAATAAATTTTAAAGTCATCAAAAGGCTGGAATTGCCTAGTCTGGTAGACGATCCTTGGTATATCTGGACAAATCTCCCATCAAATCAGCCAGGTTTTTCACTACACACAGAAATCACAATAGTGTGATATATCAAATGAACAAATCCACAAGAGCCGTGATAAGGATGTGAAACCCCGATTGTGGCTTCGGAGAAGCTTCGGAATCCTAGTGAGGGCAGTAACACTCCAGGATGCAATTTTTTTAAACCAAGTTGTGACACTGTTAACTAAGGCGCAGCTGAGAACATCTGTGCGTAGGTTCGAACCCCTCATCACGGCCGTTGTGGATTGAGGTTTCCAATCAAAATCCAATTTCCAATTCAAGGTTTTCAATTTTCAATTCAAGGACTCAAACCAAGGTTTTGGTTTGAGTTCTAGCCAGGGAGGGTTGTCTGGTCGTCAATCCTTAAGCATTCACATCTGTTCCCCCTGCAGTAATTGGGTACATATTAGTTAACCGATTTTCGGGTCGTGTTCTAGGGAAACTTGTTGGTAAGGCTACCAAGAGCTACGGGAAGGGTAATCTCTCAACTTAATAACTTAGAGTTTGAAGTTCCATTAAGTTCCTGTACTCACATGTATAGAAAAAAGTATCCTAGACACAGTACTGAGAATTTCTAAACGGGAACTTGTTACATACAGCATTAATAAAGTTTGTGTATTCCTAGTTAGAGTTTACTTATGTTAAAGTTTACATATTTGTGCGCGTGCTTACCTGCTTGTGGCTGTAGGATGCGAAGTTCACTTCTTGGGTTTACCTTCAAGTTGACTAGTCTGATGCACACAGCCGTTTAGTTCACTTGTTTGGCGCAAACAACATTCTAGTTCACTGGTGTTCTTCACTATTGTCTAGCAGAAACTATTTTCCAATATACTAATTGTCAAACGTAAATGTTTTTTTAGATCATCTAGCACAAACAACCTTCTAGTTCCCTGTTGTCTGGAGTAAACAACTTTTTACTTCACAATTGTCTAGCGGAAATAATATTTTATTTCACTGCTGTCTGGTGCAAACAATTTTATATTTATCTGCTGTCTGGTGCAAACAATTTTATATTTCATTGTTGCCTGGTACAAACAATTTTATATATCAATGATGTCTGGTACAAACAATATCATATTTCAAATTTGTTTGGTGTAAACCCTATATTTCACTTTTGCTTGGAGCAAACAACTTTTTACTTCACTGCTGTCTGATGTAAATATTCCTATATTTCACTGTTGTTTAGGACAAACAACTTTAAATTTCATTTTTGTCTGGTGCAAAGAACCTACGAGTGCACCATTTCTACGTCAATGTTATTTAACGCAAACAAATGTCTGACGCAACACCAATCTAGTTTACAGTTTTCTAACACAAACATCCTTCAAGTACACTGTTTTCTGATGTAAACAACTTTGCAGCTCTCTATTGTGTGGTACAAACAACTCGCTTCTCTCTACTACTTTATTATATCCGTTTCCTAAATGCTAGGTCGGTTTATGTACGGTAGATCTACCTGTACTTTTGATTACGTACAGCTGATTCACCCGTTCACTAGTGGCTAATTCATGATTGGAGCCGAGCACCTCTCCACTTTCACCCCGCCCCTCGACACCCCCCACCCCACGAGACCCCCACCCTCGACACCCTCCCCCCAACCCCCGACACCCCCTCGACACCCCCTCGACACCCCCCCAACCCTTGACACCCCCACCCAACCCTCCCCTGACTTCCCCCACCAGACTGTCGGTCAGCTCCCAGTGTTTCCGCCTCGTTAAGCGGCAGGTTAAGGCACCGAAACAGCCAGATCGATCTAGTTGTCAGAGTTCTTTAGTCAACAAAAATATAATTATTTACGTTGTCTTGTTTGATTTAGTTTAGCATTATATCTTCACTTTTTTATATGCACAGGATAAAGTGGTGTGAAGACTTTGTATTGTCTTCCTGCCATAAGGACGTTAGTCTTCAAGCGACAGGTGGTAACTACAGCGATGTAGTGTTGTTACTTTGCTTAGTCGTTCCGGGGCGTCGGAATTACTTGGAAAGACATATAACACGTGTGATATACATATAATTATTGAGACTTAGGACCGCATTATTATATTGTGTCTAGATTATGCTTTTTAGGAATTGTATACATAGGATTATATATATGCCTTGGTAAGCTGAGTGTACCTCATGGTTCAGAGTAACTATGTGCCAGGTATATCTTGGTCAGACGTTTAGTAAGTTTTTTCCTCTTTATTTTTAAAAGTACAATATTTACAAATATAATAAGGAACACCAAACAACTCCAGATACACAGATCATATAATTAAAACAGGAACTCACACACAAAACAAACAACATTAAAATAACTTGAGTAAACATGAATAGAAATCAAGTACGTTACACGGAACTTGAGAATGAGTAGCAAAACGCATAAAATAATTACAAACGAGTCTTTAAAAGAATTCATGATTCAAACACAACTGCAGTGTAATACAAAACCATACACTCAACACAAACCAATTTACAAACCCATGAAAATAAAGACCCAACAAAACATGCAAGACACCCTCGCCAAGCAAGCCAGCCCGTCCTCCAAACAAAGATCCAAAAGTGATTCCATGCACCCGCCAAACCCCCTGTTTATGAATGAAAAGCGGTTTACACACGACTCACAACTGCTGACGTTCGAACATATCCGGAACAAGTGTTTCACTGACGAATTTTTTTCGAATCACAACGCTATAAATGCTTCACCCACGTACTACAAATACAAATAATCGCCAACAGAACCTAAACACCTAACCTAACCTAACCTATGCCTATATATGCACAATATGCTAATATATTATATTATTTTATACTTGAGAAAATTCCCGTTTTGAATGAACAGCATATTAAAATTTATGAATGCGTCTGTGGGGTCGACCGCTGGATGTAATGGACTTGAGTCGAGGACGGGTTGAGCAAGCAGATCTTGGCACAAAACAAATTAAAAATACGAACAAAACACTGATACCATAAGTCACCGTCAGAGAATTCTTAAAACAGAAAACTACCGTAAAGATAAGCAATACAAAAGAATACACAACAAGTACTGGAAATTGACAATAACAAACAAAGTTGCAACACACTGTATTACACGTAATCTTTTTCCATACTAAGATCTCCCACTCACTCATAGGAGACATCTCCCGTTACGCAGGGTACAGTCGCACCTCCACAGATCTCCAGTATCAGCTCTTGATAGTGGTAATGGCTCAAAAGGGCCACCACTTTCGGGCTATTCATGCCCGTGCCACCTTTAGGATGGCTTAATCTTCATCAATCAATCCCACTCACTGGCAGTACTGGCCGCGCAAGTCAGGCTACTCCTCGTTACCTTGTCAACCTCAAAGTCAATCACACGATAATTTTTTTTCACAGACTATTAATCAATCGTCTCTGTTCGTCAAACATTTCGATCAATTATCTGATTAAGTTTTTAAGAAATTCAACATTTAAAAAGGCGTATCCCTCAAATAAACACACGAAATCGTCTTAAGTGTTGGCCTGATGTTTACGATTGGTGAACTGCTGCTCCGCCTCCTCCCCCTACCCCCGACCCCCGGCGGTGTAGTGCTACGCGGCCAGTATGGGTCGTCCTCGCCCCAGACGAGACGGTCGGCCTCACCTGGTATGAGGTTCTCTTGCAAGGTGGAATTTGGAACCTTGTGTATTTCGATTTTCATTTCGATTTTTGAGAGTTAAGAGTTAACAGGAAAGATCTAGTCGGTTTCCAAGTGCTTCGAAAACACTTTGCGATGATGAAGTTTGCAGCTATTACGACCTTCCGGGAATTTATTGTGCATTGCGAGGGTGGCGCAGCTACCAGATGGCCGTGACGCTGTGGGTATGGTTGACATGAGTCAGACTTTTCGTTCGTAGCAGTGAAGAATGCACCATTTGAAATGCCGCCGAATTCCCTTACCTCTTGTGTTCTGGATCGATCTGGTACAGTGGAAGGTATTCGTCTGAACAAGCAATCCTTTGGCAGAGTGCAGGCTCCTCTGAATGGCAACTGAACCGTCAAGATGGCCATTAAACAGGATATATTCCTTATTTCGTTATACTTGTGGAGTATAAGAGTGCGTTTCTTCTAAAACAGAGCAGCCCAGGACAGGTTATAACTGTGGGTGTCCTGGCCCTTTGGCCGCCGGGTGTACTGTTAAACTGGCTAACTGGGTGATCATTTTCAGAGACACGACTGGTAAGGACCACCAGTCCCATCCTGTGGTAGGTGGGAGTGACGAGCGTGACAGCGTTCCTCCACAGAGTGGCGGGTCTCCTGTGGGTGAGGAGGCTTCGGGTCGGTGGAGGGAGTGACTTATGGAGTCGAGGCTGGGACGTTCAGGGTAACGCTGAGGAAGAATTTGAGACCAACTTTCAGAGTGTGTGTGAATTGGTAATGATGGTAATGAGAGGTGTACCGTAAGTGTCCAGTTAACATGGGTACTTTGGGTTATGTGTTTAGTGTGCTCTGTATTCTAGTTTGGGGCATTTTGGTTTTCATTTCCATTTTCCTTAAGTGAATACAAGATAGAACTAATGTCCTCAAACTGGGTAATGCTCCTGTACTGTGTGATGGGTCTGTTCCCTTTATCGTGTACATTGTTTAAAATTCCATTTAATTTTTTGTCTCCCCAGGTATTGTCTCTGTGTAAAACAATGTCACTGATTTTGTCTGTCAGTGTTAGTGCTGCTTGTTGTATTTAGGTTAAATGTTCCCGTTCTATTGTAATCTATGTCCTAAAATGGTAGAGATTAAATTTATATATTAAAAATACAAATGTGTTGCATAGTTTTTTTTCTTTTGTTTGAAGCTCAGCCGTGAGTATTGTAATTACGTATACTGTATCATAAGTACTTTGTGTTGAGTTTCATGTTAATGTATTATGGTTTGTTCTTACATTGACTTGTTTCTTCAGGTTTTACTTGTTTTTATACTTTTGTAATACATTTAATGTCCTTTATTATTTTGCGGGCACTGGCGTGTCTAGTACCTGTAGTGTATTGTTTGCGTACATGTGTGTTGTTTGCGCTTCTTGCTCCTCAGAGTTTGCCGTAGAGTCATCTATATGTAAGGATTGAATGTTTCGCTTAATTTATTTTAATTGTACATGTCTTGTGCTTCTATCATTAAACAAATTAAAACGTCTTGCTCAAATTAATCACTTGCGTCGAACCTTACCCATTAGTCATGCTGTCAAGGTCATCATCATACTGTACATTTTCACAAATTAAGACACACTACAAATTTAACCATCACCTTATTGACATAAAACATTGAAGAGTCAACCAAGTCCTTTAACTTGATCCGTAACTCATTAAAGATCGTCGAGCAGAAAATGTCTTGGTCGTTATAACCATTTTATATTTCAGACCAACAGACTCCTTCCCCCATAATGGAAGTGTTGGAGGCCATAATGGGACGTACTCCGCCACATCTACACGGAACGAGCCACAGGTGGGTGGGGCGGGCTGCAGGTAGCGCCCAAACAAGCCGGTTCGCTCGTTTGTAGCACGCCAGACAGGCGCGACTATGCCCCGTGTCTCCCCGTGTCTGGCCCGTCGGATGGTCTGGACCAGACAGTGTTTGAACATATTTAATGATATTGAATAAGTTTAATACCAACTAAACATTACTTCTACCTCTTGTCAGCTTTATTACGAACACGCTAAAAAACTATAGAACAAAACTAAGTGACTCAAACTCTTAATTTGTTATCGAAACTTTTAACTGAATGAACGCTTTCCTTACGAAACATAGTGGAATTAGGTGAAATTCAAATTTACGGGTTAATTGTTATCAAGGAATAGCAGTGAACCCGGTAATATAGTGGCGATAGAAAATGCTGCTCGTCAGCTTGTAACATGCTGAAAGCTTATTCTTACCTCAATCATGCTCCAACTAAGGAGAGAAGTGATCTGCTGTACATTGTTACAATAGATATTCCTCGTGGATAAAACGGTTATATGCTAAAAAATCTTTCTTAAACGATGTCTGGTGTTAAAGAAATATTCAGTGACTAGAACACGGGAGGTAGAGAGAAACAAATGGAATTCACTAAGTATAATATTAACATTGTAGGCTCGACTACCAATAATGATTAAAGCTATCCATTACCGGTTAGCCTTTACTGACTAAAAAAAAAAAAAAAATAAAAACTTAAAGGTGTTCTTCAGTCCATCAGCTTAACTAAGATTATCAAAACGGTACATAACCCAAACTGCAAATAATAATAATCTTACCACAATACAATAATAAAATACTTATAAGGGATAAGTATATTTCTGACACCTCTTTACTCAACAAGGCTCTCATAAACGGAACTAATACCAATCTTGCATAATCATTTAAGGCTCCAATACCACCCCTTTCGGGACTCTGGTCTTTTACTTATAACATCAAGGCTCGGGCACGAGTAGAAGCCTGACAACTGCACTACATATCCATCTACCACCTGCCATATATTGAGACTAACGTCCGTATGGTAGGAATAAAATACAACGCCTTCGTTACCCTCTAGTACACACAAACAGGAGGTGTTGATATAATACTAAAACTTAAATCAAAGAAGACAGCGTAAATAAGAAATAAACATTTTGTTGGTGATCCGTTGTCAACAGAAGGCCGGCGCTCTCGGTGGCTATTAAACTACCACTTTAGCAGTTTCAAGTTGGGAGCACACACACAGGTGGGAGACGGGGGGGTAGGGGGGATGTGGAGGGAACAAGAGACGAGCAGAGGCCAATTCCACTCCTCACAACACCTGCCAGCGGACGGGTGTATATGCTATGGACTGCCATCCATTCGCTGGGTGGATCTAAACTACTAAACAAAAGGACGGGTGGATCTGTTATTCATCCACCGGAAGGACGAGTGGATATACTGTACTACAACCAAAATGCGTGTTGATCGGATTTATATCACACACGCAATATATGATAAGCATTTGAGTGCTCGAGTGATGTGAAAGGTTTGCGGCGGACAACCAGAAAATTGTTTGTGATAAAATATATTGAACTATAAAAGGAATTATGATAGATTATAGTGAACGAGAAATGTGTGTGATAGATTATAGTGAACAATAAATTTGTTAGATCATAATGAACCAGAAAATTTTTCGTCCTTGATTATAGCGAACTAGAAAAGTTTATTGTGCTTGATAATAGTGAACTAGAATAGTTTGTGCTAGATAAGAATGAACTAGAAAATAGTTTATGCTAGATAATAGTTAACTAGAAAATAATTTGTGCTAGATAAAAATTAAGAAAATTGCTTGTGTTTAATAATAGTGAAAAAGAAAATGGTTTGTGCTTCATTAGTAAAGTACAAAATTGTTTGTTCATAACTATCGTTAACTAAAGAATGGATTTGTGATAGATTATAGGGAGGGAGGGGAGGAAATTATCAGGGGAAAAGCAACAAGCCAAAACTTGGCTTGAATATATAACACTTGGAAGGGGTCAAGATAAGGATTTGGGATGGGACGGAGGAAAGGAATAGAACTTGAAAAATTTTGTTAGATTATAGTGAAGTAGAAAATTGTTTGCGCTAGATAAAGTGAACTAGAAAATTGTTTGTGCCTGAATATAGTGAACTAGAGAATTGCTTGTACTATATTATAGTAAATTTGAAAATTGACTGTGCTAGAAAATGAAAGAATTAGAATATTTTGGTGCTGGAAAATAGAGCTAAACAATTATTTGTACTTGTTTACAGTGAACTAGAAAATTGTTTGTGCTTGATTATAGTGAACTAGTGAATTGTTTGTGCAATGGAATGATTTGGAAAATAGTTTCAGCTAGAAAATATTAGAATATTTTAGTGCTAGAAAATTATTTGTACTAGTTTACAGTGAACTAGGAAATTGTGCCAGACAATATTGAGATAGAAAATGGTTTTCAATATTTTATAGTGAATTATAACTATTGGTGCTAGACTTTAGTGAACTACTACTCTTTTAGTGCCAGACTATAGTGAACTATTAAATTGTGGTGCTAGACTATAGTGAACTATTATATTGTGGTGCTAGACTATAGTGAACTATTAAATTGTGGTGCTAGACTATAGTGAACTATTATATTGTGGTGCTAGACTATAGTGAACTATTATATTGTGGTGCTAGACTAAAGTGAACTATTATATTGTGGTGCTAGACTATAGTGAACTATTATATTGTGGTGCTAGACTATAGTGAACTATTATATTGTGGTGCTAGACTATAGTGAACTATTATATTGTGGTGCTAGACTAAAGTGAACTATTATATTGTGGTGCTAGACTATAGTGAACTATTATATTGTGGTGCCAGACTATAGTGAACTATTATATTGTGGTGCCAGACTATAGTGAACTAGGAAAATGTTTTGCTATAGATAGTGAAATTCGTAGTTGTTTACGCCAGACAACAACGGTCTGGCTGATTGATCCAAGTGATGGTCTTCTCGTCCGACAGCCACACACAGGTAAGCACACTCACGCTTAGAGTACCTTTCACTTATATCTAGTTCAATAACTATACTTCTAGGAGAAAACCCCCTTCATTCTTGATGTCATTTTGTTTACACACGTCATTTTAGACATCTGTTGCACACAGATTCTTTAGCATTTTGTAATTGCACTCAAGATTTTGGTATTAGTGTTCTTTATTTATGACGATAAAGAATTGACTTGTTCGGATTGTAATTTCTCGTAAAAAAATTTCCAACTATGAGGTGGTGAGTCTTGTGTAGCCCGATTATCTATTAGCCAGTTGGATATCACTATGGAAGCCCATCTATGACCGTAGAAGGCACTTTAAGTGTTTTATACTCTAGGGATGAGTTCTGATGTTCTTATGGGCCAGATAGATACATTTCTCTCATTTCACTCCACTTCTTGAGGAGTCGAGAGGATTTCTAAACCAAATACATGGAATAGATAATCTGTGTATTTGCACGAAGTATACATATAAAATTATGGAAGACACTTATGTATATTATGAATACTTGAGTAATTAGTAGAAGTCTTGGTGAATCTGAGCCGTTAAGTTTCGTGGATGTGTACAGGGTACAGCCCGTCCTCGCATACAAAGATCCAAGCTCGTTAATCCAGCCGCCAAACCCCCTGTTTATGAATGAAAAGCGGTTATCACACGACTCACAACTGATGACGTTCGAACACTTCCGGAACAAGTGCTTCGTTCACGTCCTTTGTTTGAACCACAATTCTTATAAATGCTTCACCCACCTACTTCAAATACGAATAATCGCCAACAGAATGTAAACACTTAACCTAACCTGCGCCTAACTATACATAGAATTTGTATGTATAATATTCATTTATATATGACAAGCCAATTTTTAATACACAGTATGTTACAATTGATGAATGCATCTGCGGAGGACGGCCGCTGCTTTAACCAGCCTAGTGTGAGGGGCCAGGTTGCATCGTGACAGACCTGTGGTGGTCGGTATGATCTGTGGATGTTGGGTAGTCGTAGTGACGATGAAGGATGGAGTAGCGCAAAAATATGTCTTGATCAGTGTTACTGATATATAATGATTGTGTATCATCCCTTAACTCGTCCCGGTGCGTCTTAGTTGATCGCATTGTATCTTGTTCTGGATTTATTCGATTTAATGCTTTGAAACACATCGGCACATCTAAATCTAAAGTTCAAATATCTCGACGCGTCAACACCCATGTTCGGTGACTTTTGTAGTGTCATCAGTACCCAATTTCAATGCTTCTTGATTCGGCTTAATACTTCCTAATTTGTTATGATTTGTCTCGGCGAGACTCGATGCCTTAGAGTCCAAAACACTGAGTTTCAGTGCGTCACGGAGAAGGGGAGCTTCAAGCGAGCTCTCTCGTTCCTCTCCTGACGGTAATGCCCTAAAGTGAGTTAGCAAAGAGGAGGATTCTGCATTATCTTGTGGGCGGCTGCTTAACGCTGTTTCCCCACGACCACATCCACAATCTGAGAACATTGTGGGCTGAGTGAAAGTTATCTGTAGTGTTTGGTGAGTTTAGTAAGCCTTATGGATCATATCAAATGTACCTTGAGTGGGGTAGAAATTGGAAACATAATATTTAACAATAATTATTAAGTAGTAGATTTAAACGGTTGTCTCATCTACTTTTTCTGCTTTTGCCTAAGCTCCACA